TTTTAGAAATCCAAAGAAATGAAAGATAGGAGATGTTACTGATCCGAGAGGAACCCAGTAACTTTTCAAGCTATCCTATTTGTTTAGTTTTAACTTTGAAAAGATGTTATTTGATGTTTCATTCTGCCAATTTTATTTACTCAAAGCTTACACTTGTATGACACAGTCATACAAATAGCCTGGAAGATAGGTGTGTTTATGTCGTAACGAATGATAACCTCAGAGCCTAAGTTGAGTTAGGATTTTTCCGAAAAAAATAAAAATTTATAATAGCCACCGCACCTAGCTTATCAGCAGATTATTTTTAATCAGCTTATTAGCAGATTATTCAATAAGTTGCAGTTGCCCTAAACAGACTCTCAGTCTAAACGAGTTGTTAAGCTCATTTAAACTGAGGAGATCTCGTTAGCAACCGTGGGTTACATTATCCGAAAGACTCCCATAAATTCAAGACGACATATAATTAATTTTTTTTTTTATTTTGTTGTTGTATTTTGAAAATGTTGTTTAATTTTGAAAATAGATTTGTAATTTTTTAATTTTGAAAAGTTTTGCAATCGAGGTAAATAAATGCATAAATGTTGTAAAGTAAATAAATAAAATTGCAGTGCATAAAATATAAATGCATACCTGTCATTTTATCGCTGATCCCGCTGAAATGCTAGCATCATAAAACATAATATATTTGCAGGAAATAAATAAATTACAGAGAAGTAAATAGAAGCATTCGGTACAAAAATGTCAAAAAATGAGTCGTAGCAAAACCCGAGTAAAAAAGAAAACCCATATTCACATATGGAAGACCAAAACTGGGTGTAGACATGGGTAAAGGTGGGGGCTCAGAGCTGAATTGTGTGCTTCTCGACCTTAAGTAAGAGCTACCAACCCAATCATCTATGGAGGGCAGTCCTAACCTCGATCCAAGTAATTAATCGTGGACCTTTATAAATTTTCATTTGAATTTAATTTTCATGCATACACAATTTTATCATGCAAAAGAGACTTTTGTTTAAAATATTTTGTAGAATGGTGCAGTCCACAGGCTGATCAATCTAATCGAGTTAGGACTACAGACAACTTAAGAATATCGGGGGCAATCATCTTCTCAAGAGTCATCGAATAGTATCATCGGTTTTTATCTTCTCCTTTTATTAAAGATCCTTGAGGTAATAGATACTACTCTAAAATCTCATATCGTATCTCACATTTTAACCCACATTAGCATTATCGTCATTGCCTTAGCCACACCCTAGCCACCTAGACCTCAGACTTACACAAGTCTGATGATTCATATGTGGCACAAACAAATATCCCCATTCACTCACAAGGGTTTAAATACCTTAGGGAAGACTTAAACCCTTGAGCATTGGGTCATAAATGTAAGATAAGTAGTTTGGGGTATTTATATTGATTTGTGAATTATCGGACCCCGAATCATATCTTGGTTTACCTTAAGGAATTTATTTGTTATGTTATGTTTGATTATTGTGTTGTGAGGATGAGTTCTTTTAATAAATCATGATTGATAGGCTGGAATGTCATATTGAATGTCTTATATAATGTCTAAAATCTTATAAAGGAGTTCAACAAATTTAATTTTATATTTTTCTGATTTTTATTTTATTTATTATAATTATTTTAGTGAATAATTATAAATACATTGAAAAATGGTTTTAAGTATTCAAAAGATACTTTTGAGTCTTTAAAAATTCAGTGAAGCATTTTAAGTTACTGTCTTTGATAAAAAAAAAAAACTGGTGACATTTTGAGATATTTTGTATTTTTTTGATTTTTTGATTATTTTAATTATTTTTAAATGCTCAAAAGTGAAATTATTATTTTAATTAAAATTTTATTTTTTCTAAGTGTCCATGACCTCAGAGAACTCATAAGGTCAAATTTTATATATTTTTTATTTATATTTTAATTATTATAATTAATTTAGGCCAAAATTATTAATATTATTGGAAAATATACATAGGCATTTAAAACCCATTTTTTGACTTAAAAAAAAAATCTTTTTTTTACTTTTAAAATTTTATGGCAGTGTTTTAAAGTAGTTTTCTTTAATCAGGATAGTTTTTGTGATTTTTTTAGATATATTTATATTTTTGATTTTTTTAATTATTTTTTTAATACTTAAAAATACAATTTCTATTTTTTATTTAATTTTATTTTTTCTTGGTCCGTTTCTGTTTTTTATGGGTATTTTTATTTTATTTTTATGATTTTTTTACACCAAAATATGTATTTTTAAAGTTTATCTAATTATTTAAATCAAAAATACCATATTGCTCTACTTATCCACGTGACACCCTTTTAAGACTCAAATCTTAATGTCACATACATAACACATAAAATTTTTATTTTTCACATATTCATATTTAAAATATCACATAAATAAATTGCTGAAAATTTTAATTCCACATATAATTATATATATAATTTCTAAAATCAATTTTCACACACAACATTTTTATAAATCTTAAGTTTGGATGGCTAACATGTAAATATATGGGGACTAAGTATCTTGATTTTGTATGTCTCTGATATTTAACGAGTAAACACAATATTCAAATAGCTATTATTTAACTATTTAGCGTTAAACATGTAAATATGCATGTAAATATTAAAGCATAGACACTAGGCATGTGAACATGTAAGAATTAAGCGACATGCATGTAGTTATTCGAACTTACGCATTAAACATGTAAATCTATAAGAATCGAGTGAAATACATGTAAACATTAAAGTTTAAAAATTAGGCATGTATATACGTAAAATTAAGTGACGTGCATGTAATTATCCAAATTTGGGCAGTATGCATAGAAATATAAAAAGTTAATTTGTGTGTGTAAATACATGAGAATAGGGTGGCAGAAATGTAAAGTCTCTTTTCCACCCTTTTCTTTTAATTTTTGACTTGCAAGCGCATATGAATTAATGGTATTCATGTAAATATTAATGTTTGAATTTTAAGTATACAAGCACAAGTAAATAAAAGCTACCGTGCATGAAGATACATAAAATAACAAAATATGCGTGAAAATATGAATACAGGTGGTTGCAGCGGGTTCGACTAGCGATTGGAGCTGACAACTTCGACCTTCGCCAGCCAGGAGGGGCTCCGACGGACGGGAGGAATCCGGCGGGCCGGCAAGGAGGGGAGCTCGGTGGCAAGCTTCGCGAGATAGCAAGGAGAGGCTGCGTTCGCGAGGTAGAGAAGAAAGAAAAGAAAATAAAATAAAATAAATGGAGGCTGGGGTGTGTACTTCACGGGTAGAAAAAAGAATTGAGTGTGGGGAAGTTGCTTGGTTGGTTCTTAGAGAAGAGGAGGGAGTGCTCTTATGTAGGAGAGGAAGAGAGAGAGAGAGAGAGGAAGAGAGAGGTTATTTTAATTAATTTATTTATTTTGTTTAGGCAGGCATGAGAGAGAGAGGCATGAGTGGATAAGTCCATGCGTGACTTTAATATTATTATAATATATATAGGGAGAGAGAGGCATGAGGGGATAAGTCCATTTAGAGAACTTGTGCTTAAGTGGTTTATAATGCAAATTGATTATATATATATATTAATAATAATATTATTATTCCCGTGTTTTTTCGCCTGAACACGTCTTCGATATAAAATAAATGCTCCCTAGGTGAAATCGATATTCTGGACACGCTTGCGCGATCCGTTTCGTCATCTGGGGTCGTTCAGACAACATCGTCGATGATCGGGTAAAAAATGCTTCAAATTTAATTTTTGTAAAGTTTTGGTTTTGGGTCTATTGTTTTAGTAATTAATTTTAATTTTGATTAATTATGAGACAAATAAAGATGTGGGTGATGTGAATTTTGACATTTATGCATGTCGTCCGAATTGTGATTTTCGTGCGCGAATGTACGAAAGTCGTAATGGGTGTTCCTAAGGCTTTTAAACCCTATGGGAACTTATCCTCGAATTCTCACAAGTTGGTCATAACCTTCCAAGTGTTGAAGGTTTATGACCAGTCACAAAGGGTCTCCAAGAGAGCTAAGAAACGGTTTGAATTACTATGTAGTCAAAGGAAAAGTCCTATGGCTAGATCTTAAGCATTAAGAGAAAAGAAAGACCTCATCAAAAATGAGGTCAACCAGATTTACTAGGACTTAGATAATAATTATATGTTAAAAGATGATTATTCATTCAAAGATGCTTATCTTTGCCTTGATTCATCTTTGAGGGACTTTTTTGGTTAAAGAATTATTTATTCGAGTTGTTTTGGATATTCTGGGAGAGTTAAAATGATTACTATTCGCCTAATTTGAAAAAGTTGTGATACACATGGTTTTAGCGTAATTTTTTTTTAATTGCTAAGGGTAAGAGAGACATAACACAAGGCTATATACACATTTTTTAACTCTATATCAGCTGTTTGAGGTCTTTATTATGGTTGTACTAAATTTTCTATAAACTTTCATAAAAGATGATGTCTATTTATGTGGAAATGTCACTTTGAAAATATAACATGTTTCATATCATATCATAAAACTATTGATATATCTCACATTGTTGCATTATATTTTAATGAGTTGTTTAAATTAGATAACTATATGAAATAATTATTTATGATTTAACTAAAATTCATAATTTTTTTTTAAAAAACTCTTTGAAAAATATAGGAACATAATTTTAATTATTTATTGTGCACAAATCCATGGATAAATTGAGATAATTAATAGAATGACTATATATTTGGGTGAGATTTGATATTACTTATGACTGAGTTTTAACCTAAAAAATATATAGATATTGTTAATTTCTCAACGGAGTCTAGGCCTAATGCATTTGCACAATCATGCATTCGCATGAGGTATTTGTAAAGAAGTAGCTACTAAGTATGAAAAGGTAAAATTTTCCATGAATGTTAACAAGAGGTTTGTAGATTTTAAAACCCGTGATAAAGTAACCATGCATTTAAATTCAAAAATGTTTTTCTTCTGAACCTTTAAGAAATTTCATGCGAGAAAGATGATGCCTTTTTAAAATTTTACAACACATTATGACGAGCACCTATAAATTTGACATTTCGTGAAATCTTAACATAAATGTTGATTTGAATACTTTTAATTTGACCTTATTTCATGAACCTATTACAATTATTTTATATTTTCATCTCCTTCTTGTGAATCTCCTTGTGAATTTACATTCAACTCTCTGCCTAAAAAGACTATATAATTTGTTTCAAAAGCTATTTTGGATGATGAGATAGTGTTCATGACTAATGATGGATTTCAGATATATTTTCTACATTGATGTGATAAACCTGTTTATCAAAACTCATGAATTACTTTGCAGGAAGAGCGAATTTTATTTCCTAGTTTGCTAGACAATGTAAAATAAATTTGTTCCATTGAGAGATGTGCATGTTCATACCTTTGAGAATTGTAAAACAACTTAATATTTTGCGCAAGTTGAGCCAGTTTCCGTTGCATTTTGCAATTTCATCTTGGTTAATAAACATGCTATTAGCATGTTCTATGAGAACTTGTTTTGCCTTATGCTTTGCTCGGCAGCTCGGTTCAGTCTGCTTTGTTGGGCAAGTTTTTGGATTATCATTGTTTAATTTAGTTTAGGTGGTTCACTCGTGCTTATAGCTAAAACCCACCACAAGAGTTTTTGTAATTATTGTGCTTGTTTTTTCATGTTTTTTCACCACAAATTTCATGATCTGGTATTGCAACTCGCTATGGAATGGGTCAATTATGTAATTCTCATGATGTTCTTTTTCCGTGCCATTAATAGGCTTTAATTCTATTTTGCTGATAGTGCGAACCCTGAATTTGAGTTGTGTTTATCTTTCCATCTTGTACGTTTGTTGCTATTCATATTTCATGTTCATCCTGCTAATCCCACTTAGTGGGATAAAGGGTTGTTGTTGTATATTTCTTGGTCATCCATTCCAATGGATGTGATAATTATGATGTGATAAGTATAGTGGAATTTGAGTTGGAAAAACTCAGGGGCTGTGCTGGGAGAAATATAGGATTAGAAAATACTTGAGGGGGTAAGGACACTACTGCTTTTTATTACAATTTTGATTTTGTGTATATTTAAGTTGTGTGATTTCCTTTGAACAAGTCGTAAATATCACTGCTTAATTCCATAAAAAGTCACACGCTTATTACCAACATGATGGTAAAATTTTCTTCATTTTGGTCAACTCTACTTTTTCTTAATTTCTTCGAAACAGTTCACTATTATCTTGTTAGAGTCGTTAATTTTGCTCAGATTTGATATAAGTGGAATTTTAGTTATTGTGAATATTCAATTGCTCGTGGTTTTAATTTCCCATTGGTTTCTTCTAATTTAATTGGTTATGGCATCATCATTTTGGTTCTAATTCTATTTATTTTCAATCTGCAGCTAAAGAAAACATTTTTATAGTGGTTTTTGATATGTAATTCTTTTTTTTTTATCCACACCGATTGTATCAGTCTCAAAATAACCTACCGGGATATGCTGGCGACTGATACTTTAATTAGATTATAGATTGTAGCAGTTTTTCTCTGCAGTCTTCCTGATGAGTTGGAAGGAAGATTGCTGTCAGATTGGATTTTGTTTTCATTAAACAGGGAGGGTGAAAACCATGGAATGCCTGAACCCAAGTGAATTTAAATATTCAAGTTACAAAAGCGAAAAGGAATAATTTTAATCAGAAATGTGCAACTTCAAATGTTGCAGTCAACCAAGACCTTTGGTCTCACAATTGGCGTTTTCATGATGAAACTTTGATGAATGGCCATTCGTGAACTTGACCTGATCAACAACACTGTAGCTTGCAGTGGCTAATTTGCTCTCGTCAATGCTACTTCGATGAGAGCTAAATAGTTACCGTCTTTTTTATCAAATATTTAGTTATCATCCATGATTTTGTGATGAGCTAGTGTTGAAATTTGTAGTCTATGGATAATTCTGCTGGATGCTGTTTTAGGAAACTTCTTAAGTTATTGCTGCCATGTAACTTTGTTGTTAAGCCATATCTTATTGCCTGAAGGCTTCAGGCTGTGACTCAAGTTGTAAAGCTCAAGTTGAAGATAGTGACTTTAAGGAAATGGAAGCAGAGTATGAATGATGATGGGGATACGATAAATAGCATCAATGATTGTATTATCCTATAGATGCTACAAACTTAAATAGTTTAATTGTATTTTTTAAACATAATGTGTGTCAGAAATAGTCAGAATGTTTTTTTTAATTTGAATTATATTGAAACTTGGAATTTATTATTTTATTCAACTTATTTTATGATGATATTTATTACTTTTCATATGTTTTTCTCTTAATTAAGATAATGGAGGATAAGCTTAAAAGCTAGAAGCGGAATTCAATAAAAACTAACATAGAAATGCAGAGATCTTCGGGCAATCTTCAAGCAGGTTTATTTATGGCTGCTCAAACGATGTGCCTTATATATATGAAAGAAAAAGAGAGAAGTGCCAAAATAGTTTCCTAATCACTTGCAAGGGTTTAGTCTCCGAATCTGTGAAAATGCCAATTTAGTCCTCATTTTCATTTAATATGGGCTGAAATAGATGGTCCCTGTGAAGAAATATTTCAGTTCCAATTTAGAGAGTCTAGGTAGAGACTCTAGGACTAAAGTGAGGGATTATTTTGATTCTTAACACCATAAAAAAATGATAATTATTTGTTTTTTTAGCCCTTTTTGCTCATATGAGCACATATGGTGGTGTCTATGCCTTGTGCTTTGGCAAGCCATCACCATTCGAATACCTCGAAGGTATTATGATGTATTTGGCAAGCATGTGTAACTATGCCCTTATAATTTTTGGGTATATGAAGATGGGTTTGAAGAACCAGCTACTTGATTATACTTTACATAAATAATAGTAACAACGATGATATCATTTTTAAACAGCTGATAATTCTGCTCGATGGTATTTGGCTAGATTGTACTTACACAGCTTCTTCTGCAGCTATGTGAAATGGTTAAATCTAGAGTTGAATCGCAGAGCTTCCTCGAAAAGCTCGGGAGCACACATATTTCAGTTTCTCAGAGTGATTCCGGTATGAAAATACTGTAACTCTTTTTAACCTGCAATTTTGTTATGAAATCAGAAGTTGAATAACTGATTCTTTTGTTTGTCACTTAATGTACTTATTTAGTATTTCATTGAATTATTTTTTGTTTATAATGAATGATAATTACTATGATACCACAGCGTGGGAAATGGTTGGTACAGCAGATTTATGGGAGAAAAAACAATTTGGTGCAGAAAACGAAAATGACAACGATGGTTTTGTTCTTGTTAACCAGGAAGATATAGTGGAGGGGATCGTAAGTTTCATGGCTGCATACCTACTCTCACTTAAAGAAGCCAAAGTATGTCATGTTCTTCTTTTGCCTCTATAATGCTTGTTTAATTTAGGAACGAGTAAAGTGTCAAAAAAGTAGAGTTTATAAAATTATCAACCTAGTCCCACGCATCTTCAATATGGGCTATTTTTTTTAACCCCTATTAATAGAACATGGGAACTAAATTAACACTTTATATAAACTCTGAGATTAAAATGACCCCCGACATAATTATAAGGGACCATTTTGACACTTTTCTTATTCAGGAACACAACTGACTTAAAAAAATTTGAGTAGAAAAAAAAAATCTTGTTTAATTTTAAATTTGCTGTTGTACTATATTAACATGATATCTTATAAGTGTTACTTTATTTTTTTGGTAGGATTTAGCTCCTAACCAACTTCAAAAAGGTTAGTTTTTTATATGTTTCAGCTATCCTATTGTCTGATTTTAATTCCATGCAATGAGGTTACAGAAACTCTGACGCAATGCATTTATGTTATGTGGCTTATTCAGCACTGAGGAAGACGTTCTCCGTCAAGAAGGAGAAAAGCAAGCTTATGAAGGCATGGGAAGGGAGCCAAGTCATTTATAATGTTACATCGTGGGGTGCCACTGCGGTTGGGTAAGCTGTTCCCTCATTGCCTTGAAACAGATTATAGATTAAACCTAGCTTTTATATAGGTAAATGTTAAGTGGCCCATTGAGATCATTTTCATTTTTTATTTTTTTATTTTTTTTTTCTTTGGTTTTATTTATGTTTTGATTTTAAATAAAACTTGTTTGTGTTTAGGGGTGTAAACGAGCCGAACACAAGCGAGCTTAGACTCAGCTCATTGTACGGCTCATTTATATTTCCAATTCAAAAAGTGTGTTCGTGTTCGACTCATTTGCTTTACGAGTCAAACACAAGCCGTTCACTTACAAAGAGTCGTTTTGACAAGTCATAAGATGTTAACGATTGGGGAAATATTTAAAACATCATTTGAATCTAATTTAATAACTTTTATTCTATTTTATTCATTAGTACTTTTAATTGATTTTAAATCTATGTAGCCTTGTTGTCAATTAATTTTTTTTAAAATACTACTCATCATCAAAGATATAGATATATATATATATATATAT